GCAGAAGCTGTAAATTGAGAATTTTGCGCTGAAAACGACAGAGGACTAGCTCATCCGAATTTCTTTAAGCTCCACCAAGTTTTTAGGTATATTTCCAACGAGTGGGTGGCAACCACAACAACAGCTTGCTTCCTTTTTAAAAAATTCATTCTTCTTTAATATGGAATCATTCCAAGCTTTTGCGAAATTTCAGCGTCCAGATGGCATCAGAAGTAATCACAGAGAACTTAAACTTTCAAACTTTTCCGGACCCCTGCCCCAAAAAGTATGTCACACCTTCTGTTCTCCTTTCCCTAACAGGACGTACCTCCATTCAATATCACCCTCTGCAAGGGCTTACAGTTAGAAAAAGCCTAAAATCTAAAAATTCGTGCGAAATTTTTAGACACCATGCAAAAAAGACGAATTAAGATTTTAAAAAAAATTTCCCCAGTGTTAAAAGCGACAAATCAAATCTGATATGCCAGTAATTTGCAGTAAGGGCATTCCTGTGGTGGCGGCTCTAAATTATTTAGCCACTAAATCATTTCATCACGGCTATCATCTTCGGAGCAAAATATGAGGCCATTTTCTTAAAACGACTAAAAATAATTTCCTCTCTTCCCTGTAAACGAAAAAACTATTTTCTTACAGTGAATGAACGAAATTTTCTCTCCCCCTGTAAACGAATAACTCAAAGTTGTGTTAGCAGTGTGTCAGAGAGAATAAGAGCTCCCTTAGTAATTCAGCTGCATTCGAGCTCTAAATTATCTCTACCTTTACAGTTGCGTCCATCTCCGCTGTATCCGTGTTTGCACTGGCATGTAAAGTAGCCTGCGTTGTTTTTACAGTTGGCATCCGAGTGACAGTCATGGCTACCATCATTGCACTCATCAACATCTGAAAGAAAAAGGTAAAAGCTTTCATCTAAGAGCCCAATTTTAATTCCACGAAGAGACCAAAGAAAGCCGCAAAGAATGTTGGCAATTTGCTTTTCGTTATTATTTCCTGTTACCGGTTAAGGACAATGCATTTTTACAGGCAAAATTGCCTTTATCAGTGTCCAGTCGTTAGAGTTTTCTCAATATTTGTTGTTTGTTTGCTCGATAACAGTCATTAAAAGACATCTAGCCTCTAAGCTTCTTGGGAAATCTGAGGTTTTTTTTTTTAATTTATGGAATCAGTCTTAGCACTTGCGAAATTTTAGAGCCCAAGTGGCACCAGAATAAATCTCAGAGAACTTACATTTTTCAAAATTTTTCGGACCCCCAAAAAGCGTGTAACACCTTCTGTGTTCAAACAGGCGCTAAGGCGCCCATGTCGTACATCCCTTCGATATCACCCTCAACAAGGGCTTACAGTAAAAAAAAGCCTAACAACTGAAAATTCGCGTGAAATTTTTAGACACCGTGCAAAGACGAATTAATATAAAAAATTCCCAGTGACATTAACGGCAAATTAAATCTAATATGCCAATGATTTGCAGTAAGGCCATTCGTGTGGTGGCGGCTCTAAATTATTTAGCCGCTAAATCGTTTCATCACGGTCATCATCTGCAGAGAAAAATTATAATAAAACTATCTTCTTTTCTCTCCTCCCTGTAAACGAAAAAACTATTTTTTACAGTGAATTAACTTAATTCTTTCTCCCCCTTGAAAATATACGCATTAGGTCAAAACACTCGTTTTTAATAATCCTCCGACTCTGTATGAATACAAGCTCGGTCGCAGAGAAACATGTGCTTAATAAATGCATGCACTGCGCATGGGCAAGGTTGATTATACATATATACATACCTAGATACAAAAAATGCCTCGAAAAGCGAGTTTAAGAGATTGGCCCTATGTAAAAAATTATCTAAAGAAAAATCTTAAAAATATTGTATAACTGTTAAAAATGTAATGTTAAAAATGTAACCTTAAAAATGTACATCCAAAAAGGTAGTTAAAAATAAAACCAATAAGGAATAAAAATACCACGATATATTTAAAAAATGATCCTAAAGAACGCTTAAAACATGCAAGATTTACTACCCCGACAACCCACTGCGGTAACCGTTCCATTCTTTTACAATTTTCACAAAAAATGAATATTTGTAACAGTTACAACTAGATGCTTGAAACTTCAACTTGAAATTACGATTACTCCTTGTTCGTTTTGACACTAACTGGGGAAAGTCTTGAAATTCGAGATTACTTAAAAACATATATAGATTTATAGCACTCGATTAGAGAAAAATAAACTTCGATTCTTTAGTCGGTGACCACTTTAAAATGGCACAACGTTCCTCGTAGTCCATTTCGCCCCTCTTTTGGCTGAGGGCCAATCTCGACGCTCTCCTTTGGACTTTTCCTAGCGAAACAATGTCCTTTACTAAGAAGGGGCACCACACTGGAGCCGCGTTATCCAGTATCGCCTTACCAGAGATTTGTATAGCAACGAGAATTCATTTACACTATATTAGACCCAAGCACGCGCTTAATGACCGCAAGGACTTTGTTAGCTTTATTGACGACTTGGTGAATATGATCGCTCCATGAGAGATCGTACGATATTGTAATACCGAGATCTTTGATATTTCTCACACTGTAAAGAATTTCACCACTGGATCAAGTGTATAGCTCTCTTTCGACTTATCTTATTTGCGTGTTATTCTCATGATTTCACATTTATCGGGGTTGAACTTCAACTGCCAGGTTTTGCACCAGTCTGTGAGTCGAAACAAGTCAGATTGTAGCACACGTGTATCATGATCATCAAGAATGCTCCCTATATCTCTATAGAGTTTAGTGTCGTCTGCGTGCAATTTCACAGTGAAAGAAACTCCAGTGGATATATCGTCGACGTACATTATAAACAAGATGGGCCCTAAAATTGTTCTTTGAGGTACGCCTGATTTTACCAAAGTCCATGACGAATGACTGCCGCTCAAAACAACACGTTGCGACCGAGCAATTAAAAAGGTTTGAAACCAATTGAAAAGAGGGCCGTCAGTACCGCATCTTTCTGATTTATGAAGCAGAGGTCTCTGAGGAAGACTGTCAAACGCTTTGGAGAATTCTGAGAGAGTTATGTTCGTAGGAGTTCTCTTGTTAGGAGATTTTGCCCAGTCGTTAAAACATATCCACTGTAATATAAGCTAGCCGGAAAGCAAAACTGTCCAACATGAACAAACAGCAAAAATAGATTATCCCCCGGACGTACAAACCCATAACGTTTTTCTAAGTTTTTTGCTAGTCGGAGGATAAAAAATCAACACCTGACGTTTTCAATAGCTGTTCGTTCATCCTTCGCGCAGATTCTGGGAGAGGTTTGTTGTTGGTCAGTTGCTATGGTTACGAGATATGACGTCATAAGTAGCATAAGCCAATCCAATTTTGGGTGAAAATACATGTTTTTCAACTTCTTTCAACAATAAAAGTAAATCTTGTAGCTAAAATCACGCGTAGTGCTCTATGTGTTTATGTGTTACTTTTCATGTAAAGAACAAAAATTTACCATTTCTCGCGGTTTTAACCTGATTTCTAATTCTTGGTAAATTCCAAGATGGTGGGCAAGATGGCGACCATTGTTGGTGACGTCACAGGCCTCCACCAGCGCCACCACCCACAAAATATACCTCATCTTCTTAAGAAGATGAAAGGCTTTCCACTAAAGGTAAAATCGTTTTAAAATACTGCAACATATCAAAAACTCCGGGAAGGGGTTCCATCGACCCCTCCCCCTCCCCCCCGCCCCTTGTACCACGGTGGGGGAATGATTATGTGTGTGCTTCCGAGGGTTAAAAAAACAAATGAAAAACAACAAAACAACTAATAAATAAAGTGGTAAACAATACTGGTCATAAGTGTCTCTGTACGGTTAATACGTCATAGGGTTAATACGTCTAGTCTAGATGGCTTCTTCACAACACGACCCATCTTGGGTGTCAGGGGGGAAGTTAGCATTGCTTTGGTCAGAAGGCACTGATGATCGACTGACCGGCTGCTCGGCGTAGTTCTGGTGATGACAACTGAGGATAGGCTGAAGACTTAGATAGGTGCCCGTGTGTCCAAGGACTCTCTTTGTTGCTATTAGCCTGGCTTGCGGTTTTCTCTAAGGGCTTCAGCTGTACTCTATTGCGCCTTAGCTCAGACCTATCAGCTGTCTGAACATTGTAGGACCGTGGCTCACTCGCCTCTTCCTGCACCTGTGGTGGACTCCATATCTTGGTTCTTCGCTGGAACACGACTATCTGCTCGTCTTGATTTAGGTTTCAAAGTTCGCGTGCCGATCTACTATCACACTGTTTTCCCTGGATGTTCTGTCGGTTCTGCAGTTGTTCTCTGTGGCTATCAGGGGCTTGAGATCGTTGAAGCCGTCCACTACTTGGAAACTGTGTGCGGTAATCTCTGTCGTTCAGCAACTGGGCAGGCGATGGTAGGTTGTTGTTTTCAGGTAGGAGACAGTATGTCAGCAGTGCTAGGTAGTGATCTTGCCCCTAGGCTTCTGCTTCTCACAGCCGGTGGCTTTATGCCTGTACTGACTTGGAATATGGGTGTTGGGAAAAATTCCTCATGAAACGATCATTGTGCTCGACCGGATAGTTGGCTTCCTTCACAAGGATTCTCAGTTTCGCAATAAATTCTTCCAGAGAGAAGGTACCTTGTCGAAGGTTGTGAAGCTTCCACACTACTATAAACTCATTGGAGTGTGGCTTGACAAAATTTCATCCAGTAATTGGCCAGCTTTTTTTGCTCTTCCGCGGACATGTTCCAGCTGTTGAATAGTTCTATTCCGTGTTCTCCCCACCAGCATGATAGATGCTTGCATTAACTATTTTGATTTCGTCCTCAACTTTCGCTATCGGCCTGGTAAATAAGTCGATAAGTCCAGCGTACTGAAGGCCCCTTGACAATGAATAAAGGACTCGCTATTTTGTTTGTTGTGTCACTCGCTCGTTCGTTCACTGAAGTTGGCAGACGTGCAGCAGTCTCCAGTTAGATTATCGTCCGTATAAACGAAAGTTTTCATTTTAATTTCTACTTAGCTTTTTCTAATCCCGCTTCTGTCACCATGAAACACTTGTTTTTAATAATCCTCCGACTCTCTATGACCACAAGCTCGGTCGCAGAGAAACATGTGCGTAAGTGTATGCACTGCGCATGCGCAAGATTGATTATGTAACACCCCTGTAAACCAAAAAAATCAAAGTTTTGTTAACAGTGTGTCAGAGAGAATAAGAACTCCTTTAGGAGTTTGACAGCTGCATTCGAGCTTTAACTGATCGCTACCTTCACAATTGCGTCCATCTCCGCTGTATCAGTCTGTACAATTGCATGTAAAGTAGCCAACGGTGTTTTTACAGGTGGCATCCGAGTGACAGTCATGGCTACCATCATGGCTACCATCATGGCGTGGCCAAGCTCGAAAAAATGTGCCTCGCATTTTAAAATATTGTTGCTTAACCTTCGAAGTACAAGACGATTGTTTCTGTAACCTAAGCATGTTGACCTTTTAAAAGAGAACGGCTTTTTTATGCCCAATGTAAGGATTTTATTGAGACCTTTTTGCTCTCTATAAAGGCTAACAGACAAAACAACGGTTCTAATAAAACCCATTAAATGGCAGCATAAATTCGTCCGGGGACCAGAGAAGAAAGAGGAGATTAAGCTTAGAACATTTTAAGAAACGGAAGCTTTTTCTTATTTATTTATATCGAGCATGGAGCTCGCAAGCTCACCCTTTCAATTGGCGAAAGAAGCGAGCCGCAAGAGAACGCGCGAACAAGAGTGCAGGAAAAGTGGGCTCTCCCTCAGTCACCAAGCAACGTTCTCAGGGCTCTTCGTTTATGAGCCCTAAGCATTTCTGCGTCTGCTTTTGGCGTGCCGCTTGCGCATGACTTCCCTCCATATCATCCCAGAAATAGTTTTTTTCTGAATTCTTTCGGACTGGACTTTTCCAGACAATGAGACAGGGGTGTTCATCAAATCCAACCAATCCTCCCCTCTCTAGCACACGGGCCTGGTAAATATACCACCTTAAATATTAGCAATGACAAGAGGGTAAGAATGGTATTGTTGGTATGTCGAGATCAGAGTGACTATACACCAACACGGTAAAACAGCCGAAGTTTGCTTACATTGCTGAGCATTATACGAACCAGTCCAATACTGCTTGTCGTCACAATGCCAGATTGTTTCCAGCAAATACCTGCAAATAAATGAGATCCACGATATCAGAGAGAGGTTCATTGTTCCATTGGTATTTCCTATACTTGTGGGAATTCAGGTAAAACAATCCGCTAACGATTGGAATGGGAATCCAAGTTCCACCAACAAGGAATCCGCAATTGAGTACTTGGAATCCGGAATCCACAGCTTGAAAAACAGAAGCCAAGACTGCCCTGGATTACCTTGAAGTGTTTAATGGTTGCCTTCCTTTAAGTCTCTGAATAAAGTATTTTTTAATGTCGTTATAGTTTCTGCGTGCATTATGGTAACTGGTTTTGGAAAACGTTGGTGGTGATTTTTCTATTTTGGAAGTATACTTTGTATTTTCAACCAGCGTAGCAAACAGACAAAAAACTGGTCAGGAGTGGCAACCATGATAAATATAATTCATTTCATAGGAGTATTAACGACAGTAACATTAGTCCTTGCTGTCTTCGTACCGTACGCAAATGAGAGGGAAGCTTACTTAATTAAGATAATTATATTGGAGATAATGCTTAAAAGAGATGTGGGAGCTTCTTAGAAAGCTTACTGTGTGCCGAACGTTATACCGCGAAAGCACAGTCGGCCACACACACAGTCCAACACCAGCAGTGCTTTTACGCTTCTGATACAATCCAAGTGGTTAAGGGTTGGGCTACCAGCTCAATACAAGAAAAAGGAACATTAAGTTAACCTTGATAACTAGCCTCAAACCATTTTGGTGAGCAACACGACCTTTTTCTAAAGTTTTAGTTAATTTCGCAATTTTTTGACAAGTACCCACTCTGAGGGCTTTCCACAAAGTTGCTCGAGATTTTCCTAAAAGCTGCTCGTAATTTCTCAAAAAACTGCTCAAAAGTTGCTCAAAAAACAATCAAAGTTGCTTTTTGTATCGAAAGTTGCTCGAAAAAACAAAACCTTTTCTAAAATATGCAAATTGAACGACAAATGTAAGATTTCTAAGCATTTTTATGCAATTCTGCGGCGTAACCAGCGTTGCTAAATAACTTTATCCTCAACAAAAACAAAAAATGTAATGAGCCAATGAAATTGTTGAATAACCTTCTTCACCCAAGACACTCAAGTCAGTCGAATGTGAATCTTCGTCCACTACTACCGCTGACCTTGCAACCCGGCTGGTTTTATCTTATATATATTTATCTTATCTTATCTGCTCCAGGGGGGGAGGACTTGGCTCCTTTTTTTACAGGAAATTCATAAATTGTCTACTAAAACATTGCGAAATAAGGAAGAAAGGCCAATTTAAGCTCTAAAGGCTGCTCCTATATCTTACAATTAGAAGATAACTAGGGAAATTGCTCGGAATGCAAACAGTTGCTCGAAAGGAAAAAAAAAGTTGCTCGAAATACGAGAAGAAGCCCTACCCAGTCCCACCCTCGTCCCGCACTTGACACCAACCAGACTAGACGTTCAGCTTGTTCAATTTTAAAGAGAAATGGTCAAAAAAATACAAGGGTACATTTAAATGCATCTTCGTATATCTGGATTTTGACAGAGTTAATCCATGACCCTAGTACTAGGAAAAAACAATAAAGGAGTATTTACCTTCGCTACCATGTGTCCCATTTCTTTGTAGTTTTCGAAGTTTGAATTTTGGTAACTGCTGTACAGTAACTTGTATTCTATGACCCACCAGTCATAGTCATCTCGTCCTTAGGTAGCTAAACCGGTAACTCTGGTAAAATTACTGACCAGGTCAACCTGGAGCCATGGATTAACGTCATTTTCAGCTGCTGACCAAGCGCCCCCTCTGACTCCGTCTGCTTTGAACTGCAGTCTGCCCTGGTGGGCATAGTGGGTGGCATCCCACTGATTGGCGTAATAGGTAGTAGCAACCAGGCACTGGTCCGCAAGGTGACTGGTATTCCACTCAGAAGAGGCACTTATCTGTCCATCAGAAATGTTGCCGCTTTCCATACCCAGGGCATATTGGCATTCTAAAGTTTTCACAGAAGGGCAAGTTCCATGAATACAATGAAGACTCCCCAGCAAAATACAACCTATGTATATTTTAAATGTCATATCTCGATAGCCGCAGTGGAATATTTTTTGCTAATAGCAAGAGAAAATGAAGGTCCTAACACAGCAACCTGTGACATTAGCCTTGTTCTACTGTTAGAGGGTCTGAATTGTGATCGTTTAGATAGTCACAAACTATTTTCTCTCTGCAATGCCTTTAAGACGTAAACCACGGCAGTGTGGAATCACTTGTTCTGAACAGCCGCAATTTAGTCGACAACAAAAATTGATGATGACAAAAAATGTGCTTTACTCGCAAACTTTGTAGAGAATATCCATGATCGGTGTCTATGTGGTGTCTCATTTTGAGCATGAAACGTATTATATACCCGAGATTTTGCATTGATGACAAAGTAGCCATCGAAAAGGATTACTAAATGGGGAGCAAAGTATTTCACCCACATTACGTCCTTTTATCCTGAACAGACAAGTGGCTTGGAATTTACTGGTTGTGGGCTCATGCAGCGTCTTGCCTTTGCACCAATTAGCACTATGACTGATGATACAGAAACGCCATTGAAAGTTTTCGAGGACAAGTATGATAATCGTCATTTTAGGCTAAGGACTTGTCCTCATCATACAACCGAGGACAGAGCAGAGGCTCTATCGCCATCAGTTTCATATATTCCATCCAACCAAACTGTACGAAAGAGTCCCTCGCAACTGATTAGGAGGGAAATCCAACAAAATGTAACCCCAGTTAAGTTGGTAGCTTCAGCTAAAAGAGCCGTCTCCCCTCGCTCCTCACCTCTAGTGACGTTTCGCTGGGAGAGAATTCTGCGCCTCCGCAATAGAAATGCCCACGATAAAAGGAAAAACCGCAACATCAGATAGCCGTACGAAAAAGGACCACCGAGGAAATAAATCACCAAAACAGAGGGGATCGAATTGCGCTTTTCACGGTTAAGGAAATTCGAACCAACGAATCATAGCTTTATAAGGTTACGTGTGTATCCAGTGGACCTTACTGCAATTAATACTAGCAATACGCACTCGGAACGTTGTGCTCTCCTTTTCTTGATCCTTTTAAGGGGAAGATCGCAGAGCAAATATTATTACTTTGTTATTAAGCATGTTTATCTCTTAGCTTAACTGCTTAGTGAGAACAAGTTTTTTAATATCCATTTTGCATTCATTCGATAACTTAAAGATAACTTAAAACCGGCATTTAAGGCTCTTAGTTAATTTAGATACTCAACTGACAACTGACATTAATTTTTTAGCCCTCCCCTTCCATCTTGAGCCTCCTAAGTTGATGAAGATGCATGTAGAACTATAGTTTCAGTCTCAGTCTAAATTTTTGGGACACTTTACTTATACGGTCTTCTTTCCCTCCCAATGTTGGCGTTCAAGATTTGGTGAGTTAACAGTGCGATAAACAACATTGTGAGGACGAGGACACCGGCCAGAAGGAAAAAGAGGCGTCGGGTGGAGTGTCCGAGCTAATTTTGTCGCGACTGTAGCTTCTAGTCGAAGCTAATGATAGTGAATATCCCTAAACATAATTATAGTCATATTAATAACAAGTCTGGATCTTCGAATATCTCCCTCCAAGAGACTCGACAGTAAGCTAGTTCCATTTTATTATATTTTTGTGTCTTTCATCACGGTGCTGGGAAAGGTGAGGTGTGCCCTTTTATGAAGACATGTGAAATGAAACTCTTTCTTTCCTAACCTTTACACTGCCAATGTTTACCATGTGGAGCAAACCCAAGAATGCACCCACAGCGAAAAGAGCCAGGTGTATTGATGCATTCCCTGTTATGTTCAGGCGTACACCACCACGACCGATTATCGGACTGACATTCATCAACATCTGGTGAGAAATAAAGGAAACACCTTTTAATAACAGTTTAAAAGAACATTAAACTAAGATATTAATAGAGAGAAGAAGTGTGACGTCACGTTGCCATGGTAGCAAAAATTCTGGATCACAACGATATAGTGCTTTTAAAGCAAGGACGACGGCGACAACAACGAGAACGGCAGAAAATCGATAGGTATATATTAGCAAAACAACCACGTTGCGCGTGCACCATGATCTTTTTCTTCCAACATGGAACTTAAAAATTTCACGTTCCCGCTCTATGGAGTTGGTGAACACAGCACAAACATTTTCTTTTTCTTTTTCTAAACTCAGATACGGCACTTTTGCAACCACTCCAACCCCAAAAGAACTCCGCCAAAATTTAACAAATTGAATGAAACTGAGTAAGATCGATTAAGTTTGAAACAGTGCCAATTCCCTTTTTAAGTGACGTTTCTGATTTGTTGTCATCCAAAAATTTTGCTACCATGTCAACATGACGCGACTTCTCTCTATCATTGTACGAAAACAGCCACTTTTTTTTAATCACGATGCTTACCTTTACATGTAGCTCCAACCTTTTCAAACCCATCTTTGCAGTCGCAACGGTAAGAACCAGGCTCATTCACACATTCTGAGTTTGGCGGACAACGGTGTGGCTTCTGGGCAGCACAGTTTTCTGTGTCTAAATAAACAACAGAGCTAATGTACTGTATAAAAAAAGTTTGGAATGAGAGTGAAGGAAAAACAAATAACATTTGACAACTGTAGTGTTGATAATATGTTACAACGTCTGTTTCCAACTTGGTATGCAAGTACATTACCACCCTTTTTTCCAGGTTTTCAATCTCATCTTATAATTCTCTTCAACCCGCCTCCTTTGGTCATCGAGCGCTACGTTTGCCGACTCCTTGCGATTAGTTTGATACTACTCCTTTAACGAAAAATTAGCCGGTTTCGACGAGTTGTCAATGCACCTAACGAAAAAGCTTCCTCCATGAGAATACTAGTATTAAATCTGTATACTAGTAAGTGCGTGAGAGAATACTGCAAATTTGGCAATGTTTTTTTCCTTTTCTGATTTCAGCCTGCGAGCTGAAATAATTCTAATGATACCACAGGTAACCCAGGCTCTGTGAAAGTATCACAGTACGGTTCCAGTAAAATTACAGTGTTTGTATGGGGTAAAAATACCTTCCTACATTTTCTAGGAAATGCTAAATAAAGATCAATGAAACTTACTCTGCAGTTAGTTGTTGTTGTCCTTATTGCTCCAACGAAGTTTCGTGAAAATTTGCAGTAATTTGTTCAAATTCACTCTATATACAGTATTAGGAGCCGGCTACTGACAATATACAATAATAATATCATTTGTTCAAATTCACTCCATAAACAATAATAATATTATTATTGTATATAGAGAGAATTTGAACAAATTACTGCAAATTATCACGCAACTTCGTTGGAGCAATAAGGACAACAACAGTTAACTGCAGAGTAATACCTTGTTGACAGTCATGGATACCTTCCTTGCATTCATTAATATCTGCAATTGATCAAGAACATAAAGTGGAAAGCTGAGAACAGGCGACAGCAGAAGATATATAAAACTCAGGGTCTTAAGATAACTGAGTAAAGTGTGCTGCCTTTGCAATGACACCCGCAAACGGTTGGACTTTCTAATCTTCTAGGACAAGGAAGAAAAACCTTAGGTCCCGTCTCACAGTACTGTCACTTATCTGGTTCTTGTGGGACGTAAAAGAACCAACACCACTGTTCGAAAAGACGGGACGTAAACCCCGGTGGTGTGGCTAACCTCTCCTGGGATGGGTAGGTTATCTGTATGCACACACTTAAATTGGAAACCCGCTCTGTAAGTTCCGCACCATATGGTGGAGGTGATAAGTAAAATTATTACAATAGTGTAATAAAGCAACCGCTAGATAACTGGACGATTATTCGACGATTATTCCACTTGATCAGGTGGCGATGCCGTGAAAAAAAGCATTCAGCCGATCGTATTACAAAGTTCCTAAATTAAAACAACAATTCTTGCTTTGAAACGCCGGTTAACGGCAGTAAAAGAAATGGCAGTTTGCTCAACAGAGGAGCTGTTACTTTTTAATAGCTTAACAATCCGCAAATAAGACCTCGAAAAGCCACCCCTTCTCCTCGGAAATTGCCTCCCCTTGGACCCCCCATCCCATCAGAATTTCCGTTGCCCGTTGATTTGGATATTTTCTGGAACTAAAATATATCGGCCGTAGAAGTCTTCGTTAGCTTCAATTAATGTGGCTGGTGATAGTTTCCATCATTTTTCATCACGTTTACATCAATATTAGTTTTCAGTTGATGCTATAATAAGAGGGACAAGCTGCCAGTTTAACAAGACACTGCTTACTTGACTGACGGCTTTAGATACAAAAACAAATAGATAAACACACAGTTGTTGCTTGGGCGTCACAGTTGACAAACAATGAGTTATTTTATCCTAGCTCTGTATCTTACCTACACACTGATCAGACTGATCAGTAGGATGCTTTCCATGTCTGTATCCATCACGGCAGACACATCTGTAGCGTTTGTCCGTGAATCCCACCTGACACGATTTATCCTCTCTAGCAGGGCAAGGATCTCCTTTCATTTTACAAATATTCTGAAGGTAAACATGTTTATTTTTAATTTTATCATAATTATTTTTTTTAGCCATTATCATTACTAAACCTTTGGGCCCGGTTCCTGGAAAGATGGTTAAGTTTAACCTGGGATTAAGCCAAACCTCAAGCACAGTTTTCTCGTCTAAGAACAAGCAACTCGAGGTTACAAAATACTGTTGAGCCTTTACTAAGAGATACAGTAATGATAACACAAAATGTTACCCTAAGCAATGAATAGGAATAAAAACACAGAAATGGAACAAAATTTTAATCCTGGATTATCGCTAATCGGCCTTTCAGGAACCGGGCCTTGATTATCATTGTCATTGTCGCTATCATTATCATTATCATTATCGCTATCGTTATCGTTATCATTTTCATGATTAATTCACTTCGTCTCTGCGATTTCAAACGCTTGGCGAAGACGATTTGGCGAATAACTGAATGGAAAATAAGCTGCAAGAAGGCAAAAAAGACACTGGAGGGCCGTTGACTGTTTTAAAAGAATATTTGCTAGAGAAAAAAAAAACTTTCCGTTTGCTAAAACTAGTTGAAATAATTTTAAAAAAAAAGTAGTACATTCCAAATGTGATTCTATGTCTAGCATTCTGCACCGAATTTGAATTAGCACATATTCAAACACTGACCACGTTGATAGAAGGTGCGCGCTGTCATAACTGCTCTTCGCTGGGCCAGGGTGTTCGTATTATCCACCACCTCAGCCTGACTTCGACTGATGCGACACACCTCGTATATTTCGCCATATCCAGTAATAGATAGAAGGGAAAAGATTCGAGTAAAGATAGATCTACAGAGGTTAGAATACCAGGACACCACGGGATACTATGAAGAGGTCAGACACAAATTGATCGAAGTTGTAAATGTTGGTTAGGAGAAAATGCGCATGGAAGAAGATCGTTTAAAGAAAGCAGTAACCAAAGAACGCAGACGTCTGAGACAGTCCATGAGATATTGACAAAGGACATAGAAAGGTGAACGTAAAGGCGCGCGTGAAGACCGAAAGGAAAAGGGTGACACTACCTATAGTCACAAGGGGATTCATGGTCAAAACTGGGATTAAAATGAATGCAGTAGAAGGACTGCTCAGGTAAGATCAGGCTGCAGAGCCGTTTTTTTTATACTGAGGAACATTCCAGATCAAGTAATGAATTTGTGTTAGGCATTTGACTCTGTCTACAAAAGTACGCAGCTCATGGATCATATGCATCATGCTATGCTCATGGATGATGTATAAATAGAAAGGCTGTGTTGTGCCGGGTTTCCTCTTCCTCCTTATCGTTAATCGGAAAAACAGAGGGAGAGTGAACTGGAATGGAAACTCATTCACATAAGACTTGAAAACTTAGAATATATGAAAAGAAACCTAAATGAGAATACATCCAAAAGATACTGATTATGGCAGGATGATTGCATAGCTCCTCGTTTGAATGCATCCACATGTAAAGAGAGCATAAGTGAAAGGCTAGTGCAGGACAAAATTAGAGTTTAGGGTGAAGAGGTAGAAGACTAGTTAATGAGCTGTTCTGGGAGTGAAGTTGTAGATGTCAGTGAAAAGATCATGGCGGCCCGTCAGAAGAAACAAAGACAGGTTAAGGACAGCTGATTGTGTGGGGAAAACTTAAGGGTACCTGACCTAGTCTGACCTAGGCTTTGAATACCAGTAGCATTGAAAACGTCCGAAACTGTAGCGAGACGAGACGCCAAATTCAGTTGAACTTCGGTCTCAGAACAGTGAATAGCCAATTGAAAGGACATTTTCTGAATTACGGGTGTCAATCAAAACGCGCGAAAACTGCTACCTTCTTATTGAATACTTAATATGTCAATTATAGATCTTGTCACGGTTTTCGACGCCATATTGACGAGTAGGCAAACGCGTAAGAAATTTCAGTGATTGTATGAGAATCTAGTGTCGAATAATTTCCGTAGAACGGCTGTTCTGAAAAAAATATATGATTTGTATAGTAAAGCCTCACTCCTAAGGATTCTCCTGAAAAAGTTTGAGGCCGTTACATGCACTAGAAGACCTAGAACCACTTTTTAAAATTTTCTATACAGTCAATAAGAAGTCCCGGGAAATTACAGACAAATATATGGAAAATCTAAAGCAAGCCTCTGGAGAAATTTAAGCACAGGTACGCCCCCAATTTTTTTTAGGACAATCCTTTGCTTTGCTTTTTTTTTTCAGAACAGCTGTTTTACGGAAATTATTCGACATTAGATTCTCATACAAACACTGTAATTTCTCACACGTTTGCCTACTCGTCAAGATGGCGTCGAAAACCGTGACAAGGTCTATTGGCGGTTATTAAAATGTGAGGCTTCTCTGAGTGGTAAGAAACATCATTAATTAAAATAATTAAAAACAGATGTATAAAAACTGGTTAACTTTAATAAGAGTGGATAAGTATATGCGATACTGGCCGTGCATTAATTTATTCGTACTAATAGAGAGATTTAGGGGTGTGATTGGGAATAACCGACTAGCGACAAACGGCGAAAAATATTACTGACGATAGGCCAGGAGAGGATTCGTCCCAAAACCTAGTTTGCCGGGATGCGACAATAGATATGCAGTGAGGATAAATTACTATTTCTCGCTAAGTGTGTAGAAGGTTAACGAGTCTATATCAAAATTTTCGATGTGTTAATATATTTAGGTAGTAAATGTCAAACTTGGACACTGTAACAATTATCGTATATGGTTTTACCTCAACCGAGTAGTGAATAAAGTTGTTCTTTCTCCATAGCAAAGACTGGCTTTCATCAGTGTCATTGTTTAGTTCGCAAGATCTATTCCCCGCAATTGCAGGACCCACGTTGATAGACACACAGTTTGGTTCAAGGAAACACTTCACTCTACATCCTCCTTCATTGGCTACTTTTTCTCTCCTTATTACGTGACCTCGAAGCACCTTGTCTGCTATTGGTCCCTTGAATATTATGACTCGGTTATATTCCGCTGCCAAAACTGCGGAAAATAAGTAAAAAAGACATTATAATTATTTAAAAAAAACAAGTTAGAATATGAGTATAAATACACTAAATATAACTAAACAATGGCGGGATCGAAGGAACGTGTTGTTATTGTTTGTCACTTGCGTTACAGTTCCTGGCTTTCCTTGCCACAGGAAATCCAGGATCCCAACAGACTCCACAGCCCACTACCCCTACCCCATTCACCCTACTGAGTACTGGCAGCAAACGGACTTTATTCACGATACCCGCCATCTTTGTACGCCCATACGGATTGATGAAATAAAAGCAATGTCACGTGGTTTTACAGGTGGCAAACAAGTGAAAACAATTTGCAAATGCAAGATATTGAGGTCGAGTATGTTTATTCTAGACAACCGAAAATAAAGAGCTTTTCATCTTAAAGGTGATAATAGCAGATAATAGGAGGAAGTGATCATTGTTGATTTTTTGGATACAGTAGTGACCGTAGATGTCCTCACAGCAAGCAATAATGACGTAATCCTTGTGCACTGGACAAAAAATTGGATTTTCACAAATTTGCCCCCTGTAAATATGTTGCAAAACTGTTAAAACCGAGGAGTAAATCTGCAAAGGTGGTAAATGCCCATTTCGCCTAGTTTATATTTACACCCCCTGTTTTTCGGTACGCAAATATGGCATTTACCATCCTTGCCCCATATTTGGTTCTTTGGAGAAACTTAAATGTATATGGAATACCGAGAAAAGCCAGTGGGAGACGTAATAGTAAATATGAACTTTTTTCTGCAGAAATGATAAACAAGGAGATGAGGAAAATGTAGAAACAAACTTATTCATTTGAGCTTAAACTATGCGGTAATTAACGTTTTTTTTCTTTGCCGCAGTTAAAATCACTTTAATGCACTGCGAACTTGCATTGGACTCATTCTACATTCGGCATTCTATTACTTCTAGAAAGAATCAGTCATTTTCTTTTGCTTATAGTTAAACACTATAGAGCTACGCCTTTTTTACTTCTTTTGAGACACAAGGAATCATTTTCAAGTTAAAAACTAGCACTTTGATCGTATATGGTCTCGTGTTTCAGGTATTCTTTAGGTGTGTTGCTTTTGTTTGTTGAAGTACCTCCGGTACCCTCGAAAACGATTCAAAAATTGAAGGGTCGTGATTGCTAAAGTCTAATTTTGAATAACCTTAAAAAGTCCCTGTTTTCTTCGTTGCACTAATAAATAAAATATCTCATTTTAATTTCAGATTGTTATTTCTTGAAATCGTGGACTGGTTCATCTATATTAATTAGCACTTCAGCATTTTATTTTACTTACGCATCCTCTCTTGACTTATTGCATTTTTATCATCTTTATTTATTTGTTCATAGGGATCTTTGTACCAAACTTTTAAAAAATCACGCAATTTTTGAAGATTTTTTTATTCTATTTTATTTATTATTATTTTTTATATACTGCATTTAAATCTTCAGGTGGGTTTCAATTGGCCGAAAATGTCAAATTTGATCTGTTTGTTTTTCCCCTTACTGGTTGTATATTGTTCAGTGAGGGAGGTACAGGCCGATTTTTAAATTGAACCTTTAGACAGCTTTACTAACTAAAGGAGTTCTGTCCAATGCCGGATACACAGGCATCTATCCCCCTCGTCTGTGACGGGCATGCAGTTAACAGCTGAAGAGTATCACACGACTCTAATCTTAAAAAAAAGTTCAAAAAAGTTCTCAAGCACTGTACTTGTGCAAACGAGGTTGCTAGTCGAACTACCATAAGATATCAATGCTAAGATGTTCTCTCCAGAAATTTTTTTTATTCCAATTCTACATTTAAGCTAGATCTTCCTTTTCCGCAACGGTGCAAACTTATGTCACTCAACCGTGTTTGCCATATACTGTTCCAACAAGGACTTGTACGAACATCACCTACGATTAGTTTTTTTACTATTATTAAATTATGCTTGGTTTTGCTGGCTTTCGTACCTCCGCATTAAAATTATTACAAACGAAAATTATTTTGGTTGTGTTCGTTTTGTAATAATCATGATTGGCTTACGCAAACATCAAGCACGTGTAGCACACCTTTTTGTACATTTCTTTTCCGGTCGTTGTTTTACACGACTACAACGTGAAACTTCCTAGTTACACCTTTAATGGAGGAAATGTCGTACTATATGTTTCCTTTCGCTTTTTTTTTTTATTCACTGCGGCTTATTTGGTGGCCGCTAGCATTTCTCATTTTCTCAGCGCTGCTATAAGATTTTCATATTTAATTTAGTCTCAGCTGAGATCCGAAAATTTGGGTTTATGGCTCACTTGAGCCGAGACATGTCTAATCTTAATCTTTGACTGTTAAGCATCACAAAAATACATGATAGCAAGAATAAACGGTAGCTTTCACTCTGTAAATCGAAATTTAAGTTTCCTAACAATAATCTCTTTTTAGCCACCATCTTGGACTTCGTGGAAGGCTGAGGCGACAACGAGAACGTCAAAAAGGAAATAGGTTTAGAATAGCAAAACAACAACTTTGCACCTGCATCACGCTTTTTTGTATATTTCTTTGCAGTCAAGTATCGTTTTCGTATCCGTCGCCGTCGTTGTTGCTTAAGCTGCCTAACATCGCATTTTATTCGGGTCAAGCAATAAGACCGGCAGTTGGCACTTTGTACTTGCATAATAATAACTAGAAAAATTGTAAGGTAAACGTAATTGTTCCAGAAAAGAGTTAAATTTAAAAAAAAAAATCATATGTATACATTGCTAGTGTGTTGAATAGACTCCCAACCCTCAAAAACAATTTCTTGCTGAACATCTTTATATCGTGCTTTCATGATCCGGAATCAGCTTCCGAAGTTTCAGCTGAATGTGAATTCCCCGCACATCTCATCAAATATCAATGAAATTGCCGAACTAAGTTCACCGACGACAGAGATTTGCAACTCGTTAAGCTTGTCCTCACAGAAGAAAGTGATGCCTGGCTCCATGCCACGAGAAAGTGAAAGCAGTCTGCTAATGACAACCCACTATGAGAGAGGAGTTCAGTCTAATACGCGCGCTGATTTCAAACTGACATACAGAGATAATTATGGGAAGTTATGAAAAACAGTTTTCTTTTGGGGTGGGTGGGACATAGGTTTATAGCCAGCGAAAAACTCATCAAAGTCTATCTACCGTGGCCTATCCGGTACCGTCAGAGAGTATATAAGAGAGATTTCTGTCGCTAGTTACGGTTTAAAACGGACGAATTAATCGCTGGCAACACACGAAAAGTTGCTCTTGGCAAAAGCGACCGATTTGTAAGGAAATGAACAACATTTAAAAGCACAGAAATAATGACCTTTCAGTCTCTTAAACTATTTAAACTATGAGGCTCATAGCGAGATCACCGACTAAAACAGACCTATAATCCACCTTTCTTGACCCCACAATCGGTTGTCTAAGACAAAATCACTTCAACTAAACACTTATAAAGCGGTTTCATGCTTGTACACAATATTCTTATAACAAGAGCGCCACGACATACCTGAAATCTGTCTGTCAACAACTTCAGGAAATCACACAATTAACCACGTCCGCGGAACTGATAGAATTATCCACAACCAACCAGACACAATGTTTCCACACTTAATACGGGCGAAATATCATCACATTACTCTCTCTCAATAACTCTCGCTTTCTCCACATAAATCACCACATGTTAACTTTGCTGACACAGTCGATTTATTCAAGATCCCGGATGTAGACAAGCCGTTTTGAAAGGGATACATGGACGCCGGCCTTCAAAACAATTTTTTACTAAGTCTCTAGCCTGGTCAGAAATCAGCATCAACTTTGCTCTCGCCGAATAGTTTTGACTCCTAAAAGCTACTTTTTGAGGCCAGAGACTCGTCACCGCCCACATCAAAGCTCGCAATACGATGCCTTTCCGTCTCAAGCCCGAGATCAGTGTTTCACACGTTTAGCCAAAATGAGACGGAATACGGTACCATATTGGACGACGGCAGACTTTGCCAATCGTGAGACTTGTTCCTTCATAAGGCTTAATGATGCCTTCCGGAAAACTTTGCTGCAGGCGGCCAAAAAGAAACCTAGAAAATAAACCGACCACGGAAAACAACTTCTACCGCGCGGGCTGATTTCAAATGTCATAGTGTTTTATGACAAGGAGAGAATTATGAGTAATGATAGATAGGGGAGAGCTGCACAGGGGGGAAACACCATGCGGAAAGCACACAATCACACAGTTGCAGCACTGATAAGACTATCCACAACCACGCATAATCTTCTCACGTTTAACATAAGTGAAACATCATCGAATAACTCAGCAAAACTCAGCCTATTGCCAGATAAACACCTCTGGACTTTTCTCTTACACTCGTCTTATTCAAATTCCCGTATGTAGAGTCACACGGTCGGCGGCCTGGGTCAGAGTTGACCGGCAATTTTGCTCTCACCTAATTCATTTGACTCCTAAGAGCCTGTTCCCGAGGCTAAAGACTCAGTGGTCACCTTAGAGAAGCGAACAATATCGTACCTACTGTCTCAGCCTGGATCAGGGTGATTCATGATCCGTTTGGCCAAGTGAAACGATTATAATACGATATTGGACGATGTAGACTGCGAATCGTTAGAACTTTGTCCCATCTCAGAGCTTTACATGATGCTCTCCGGGAAACTTTTCTAAAGGTGACCAATATAAAACTAAACTGCTAAACGGCACTGAAACCAGCATAAGGCGCTCGCTGATTTCAAATAACTGTCACTTGTGTTAAAGAAAGAATTGTGGGTAGGGAAAAAATAACCGAGAGGGGTAAGGGGGGGGGGGGGGGGGGGAAAAAAAAAATTTTTTTAAACTCCATTTTTCAAACAATCCACCCCAAAAAACACAAAAAAAAAAAAAAATCAAAAAAAAAACAAAAAAAAAAAAAGATTCACAAACAATCACAGCAAAAAAAAAATCAGCAACCACAGACAAAAACAGAGGACAGGCCCCTAAACATCATCAAAGATGTATTAGAAGATAAAAAAAAAAGGTGGGGGGAGAGGAAAAAGGGACGGGGGGGGGGGGGGGGGGGGGGGGGGGGGTAAGAAAGTAATTCTCTCTAGATCCACTTCTACACAAATCCCTAGCATAAAACAAGCAAAAAAAAAACTGGCATAAGCAAACAACACAGTAAACATATGTCAAGCTATTAGACAGAGGACAATGCGAAAAATTACAAAATGTTTGCTAACCCGGTTTTTATAACTCCAGGGAGATGTATATATTTTATTTCTTTATTACTTCTTCAACGCCTTGCCGCAAAGATCAGTTTGCCGTTTTATATTATGTAATTGATGCCCAAGCGGTAATATCTTAACGGAGGCAGCTCGTCTCTCAATTAATATAGCCTGTTCACAGACCCGCTCTAGAGAAACGGAATAAAACAACGTCTGTGTACACGCTACTCACATGATGTCCTGAGAAATCGTTAAGTCATTGAAATGTCTTGTTAATCTAGTCCCAAAGAGGTGAAATCGAGCGCTTGAATTGTTCCTTCGTGCAGCACACAGATCTCGTGTGTGGATCGTAGCGGCCTGGAAACCCAGCTGGCCCATGTATATTTCCAAGTATTTGTATATCTTTTGGTGAACATCGCGTCCACAATTACGTCATCAAGCGATAAACTTAGTCCAAAGTTCACATCATCTTCGTTCTATGTTTCATTCCCTTTTCATTGGCCTGCTCCCAATGTATGGTTCTTCATAGTTCAGTTGGTAGAGCATTGCAGCTATATAGCGGAGGCCATGAGTATTCTAATCCCATTAAGTCCCCAAAATAATTTCAGGTTAATTTGCAATTCCTTAAATTGCAATAACCACTCTGACGATCATGTCTTCATTTAAATTAGTCCATTCTTTTGAATGTTTTTGCGACCATTTTGGCGACCAAGAAATGCTTCTGGTGATACATTTCGACGGTAAAAGTATTTTAGAGAGAACATAGAGCAATTTAGATCAGTGGTCTCAAAACAAGTAGTTATTTAGTTTCACTGACGAGTTTGCTTAGGTCGCGGGTTATGTGTCGGAGGAGCGTTCAAGCTCGACTTTTTACCATCAAAACCTTAATTTGTCCTGGATACTACCTTTGAGTTCATGTTACTACCAATAAGACAAAAATCCACAATTAACTTGGCGCTTTCCCCGTCGATGGACCAAAAACTGGTGTGAACAGTTATGTTTATTGATTGCCGTTGAACCCGAGTGTCTTCCCCTTATTTTCCGACTGACGACCGAAATGTTTCTAAAAATGCTTTGCCATACGCCTATTGGAATCTAACAAGAAAGAAAAAGGTAGGAGTTCTCACGACGAGAGATTCGCCGCTTGTCAGCTATCATGTTTTCAACCCGGTAAGGACACGTTTTCATAGAGTTGACTTCCTGTTAAAGCCCTGGTCTTATACTGTCTATACATCTTTGTACGGAGGACTAGAAAAAATAAATCTAGGGGTGCTCAAGCGGGTTGCTCGCGGGACCAAAATTGAATGCAGCACCGAGTTTCGGGAAGGTTTTGTCAATTTAGAATGAGCAAAGACCGTAGGAATACGAGAATGTTAATAGGACCCTTATAGTTAACTGAGAACTGTGAATATTAATTGATATAAAGCTGACAAATCGATCAAATTTTATCTGTATTGATCGCTGAAATATGGCCTTATATTAATTGAAAGGCAGACGCTGGCAGGCAGACTCTTCCCCATGCTTAGTTTAATATAGCCCCATGAGTATTTTTAACATTCTCTTCCATTGACAATGGATATTTCATCACAATGCTGGCGACTGGCGTTACTATGCATACCAAGTTAACATGAGCTTACTAATTAGCCGCTTATATGATCTTAATAAACTCTAGCTGCTGACCGAATACTTTTAACAACTTTTAAACACAAAGAAACTACTTCAAGGTAAACACTAACACATACCAGCATACACCAGAGCACACAGCCCATAAGAAATCCAGGCAAGAAAAACGAGTAACTTAATGGAGGCCATGAAAGCCGTTGCTAAGACTCCAGCTCCTCTGTTGATTCCCTGAAGACAGACTGAAATTCAGTTTGCCATAAAATGTTCCTGTTTTCCTAGTTGCACAATGAAATTAATAATTAAAAAGCCGCATTTTAAATTCAGTTTAGTAATTGAAATCGTCGATCGGGTGCATCTTAATATGGATCATTTATATCAGTATCATTATAATACTTTACGCTTTTTTATTAACGTTCTTTGCACCAAATCATTTTTCAAGAATTTCAAAAGAGTTTTCTATTTTACTATTTTTTTTTAAATGTGGGGATCAGTTTGGTTCGGTTCCGATTAGCTCTAAAAAATGTGAATTTTTTTCCATCTGCTTATTTTCCTCTACCCGCATTTATATTGGTTAGCTATGTGGGTTCCAACAGCTATTTCTATTTTAATGACAAAAGAGTTAATATATCTATTTTGCATTATCTGATCTATATACTTTTGAATTGCTCTCCTTTTATGTTCATATGTGGCGATCAGTAAACATCTGCCTGTTTAACATTATCACCCGCCTTTTAAAATAACTTTCTTAAACAAAAATGCAAACGAGGCTACCAGTCGAACTACCACTACATATCATCACTAAAAAGTAAATAAGTCTGGCAAAATAGGTGCACGTATTTTTTGGGTACTTATTGGAAATTAAGGCTAAGTATAGTTTCTTAATCAAGTCCTTAATTTTTAGGATAGAGAAAACTCAATAAACTTGGTTTTCGGTTCTTAGAAATATACCCTGCGAGCGGAGAGGATGTCTCTTGCGTGGCTTTTGTTTACGTTTTCGTTCGCGTTGTTTGTCAGTCGCGTATTTGGTTTGTTATAAAACATGATACTAAATACTCGATTGACCAGCAAAGGGAACGACGTAGTAAACGCAAAAAGTTACACACCAAGGTTAAATAGTCTATTAAAACTTAACAGTAGCCCACATATAAGAACCTGCTTGTTCTTGGCTAAACAGTTCTTGTTTCTTTTTGGTCTCAACGTGGCAAATTTCTTCCAGGAGGTTCTTAATCCGCTAGGTTCTATTCGCGGTTATTTACCGTAATAGGTTTAAAAAGCAAACAGCTACAATTCTGAACGTGTATTACACTTTATTTTAGCTTATTATGGTACATTGCCATTGCCGATTATGACCTGAAATTACCTAACTTCAGGTTTTACTGAGGTCGTAAAGACAAGACGACTATTTTCTTGTACTCTTTTATACTTGGATGATGCCTATACGAATTTGTCTCCTGAAAAATTCACCTACTTTTGACAAATTGAATGAGATGGATTAAAATCGATGAAGTCTGAAACAGCGCAAACTCTCTTTTTTAGTGACGCTTTCGCGCCGCTGTCGCGCTGTCGTCGACTGGCTCTAGGGACGAGAACGTGACCTTACCTGATACCACCATGGCGGCGCCAGCAAGTGAAAACGTTATTCACCTCTTTTATGTCTCTCATTGAAAGGAGTACACAAAAGCAAGTTTTTTTTTATAAATTTTGTGTCTTGAAACATCTTTATTGACGCTCTTGGCCTTGACTTTTATGAAGGCTGTTTACTTACTTTTGCAGGCAAGGATTTATTTTTCAATAAATCATTTATTTTTGAGAGCTTCGTTTGTCATTTCCTTTAATCTTCACTTCTTTGTAGGATTTGTTGTAGTAACTATCAACGCCCCCCGTGAGTTTTAAGAGGTTCTAGAACACTGAGGCTGATGAGCCATCACTGTTTTAATGTCTTAATTGCATTCGAGGTACCTAATAAATATTAGCGGGATCCCGGGAGATCGATCTGCTACTAGTTTATCTCCTCAGTTCACCTTGTAACAGGAAAACTATAACGGGTAGAGACCAGAGACCCGGGTAGCCTGCGTACAAACGTCCCCCCTCCCACATAAAAAATCAAGAGAAGAGCTAGAGACGAGGAAGGGGGGACGTCTGTACACAGACTAAGACCCAGGTAGAACCCAAAACTTCAAAATAAGAAACTTTATAACAACTAACTGAAAAAAATAACAGGGAAATCCAGAAACCATTAGCAGCTTTGAGTCCAAGAAGAACAGTGATATTACAGTAACAGTCAAATCAACATGATGACCTTCATGAAACCGTCCACTCTGAACTTTTCACAAACGCTCTGAGATAACATGAATCTTCAAAAATAACCTAACCAGAACTAAGAGATGATATCCCAAAAACTTTAGGCTGAGGTATAATTCCAAGAACAAAATCGCAAGCGATAAAAATAGTAAAAAGTTCACTTGGTAATAATGCAACTCTAAAAAATGACGCGATAAGATTGGTAAATTGTCTTGATGCTTACCCTGCTAACAGCCAATCCGTTTGAATGACTCGTCTGATGAGGGACAGGAAGGACTTGAAATAATTCCATGATAAAGGATAATAATACGCATGGACTAATACAATTTTAGTCAGTTATTGAACCAAAATTCCATGTGTTGTTCTCCTTGCCCCAAGGAAGACCTACTATATAGATATAGCCAAGGCCAAACGGGAATTGTAATTGTAATTGTAGTTTACTTTAAAATAATAATAAGAAAATGAAATTGTGTGATGCTAAACGGTGACGGCAACGGCAACGGCAACTGCAAAAGATCAATAGGTACGGTAAAACGGGCAACAAAAAACGTGTAACATTTTTTTGCAACATTGCTGCAAAACGAATTGAATAGCGATGTTGCATGTTTCACCCCCCGCGAAAAAAAAACTTGCAACAGATAGGTTTGAACGTCGGTGGTAAAACTCGTAACATCGCCAATGAACTCGTTTTGCACCAGTGTTATCTCTCGACCTATCTTTTGCCCTGTTATCCACGTCAGTGAAGACATTAACGTTTAATCGCAAAAAAGATTCGCCTCAAAAGAGTCGACCGTTCTACTGCTGATGACTTTCTCCTTCTGATTGTCAACGTCTTTCGCAACCTCCCAGGGTCAGCTTTGGAAATGTTCAATATCATGCTGCAAAACAGTAGCCAAGCGAATTACCAACACCTTGATGTCGTGTAATTCGTTTTCAACAAAGAGACTGAATGCAGCTTTCCAGGACAGGCAGGCTTAAAAGCAGGTTCTGGAAACTCTACGCTTTAATTCCAGCTTCTTTATTGGTTTTATCCGACCCAGTAAGCGACCTCTCCTACCTTTCTTTTGCTCACTTGAGCATACCAATATGGATGGCGTTCGTGTAACACGGGTTGCGCTATTATTTCCCTAACCTTGAGTTCTTCAGCTAAAAAATATTCTTCTCTTGAAGTTGATTTCATTACCCTAAGGATCCTGTTCGCAAATGCTGTTGTGAAAGCATTCTCATGCGTGAAGCGAGGTTTTCAGTGAGGCGGTCATCACTAATTTTCTGGCTACAGTGTGGTGCTCATATGCATAACGACGGGAATTATTGGAGGTACGTACTCCGGCGATTGTCGACGTACAGCAAGAACGTAACAACCCAGGAAATTGTATTAATCATGGTACGCGCAGCAAAGATAAAAATGAACGTGTCGTACAAAAAATAAAATAAATTACGAGTGGCATGGGCACGTAGGGACTAGTGTCCACGTGCAGGGGTAACTGATTTCATATACCCGCGACAGGTGAGTCAGGCTTGTTAATTTGCAAACAAAAAGTTGAAAGGCAGTAGGCGAGGAAAAACTGGTTGGGGGTGCTAGCTTACAAACATAGTTCCATATTTTAACTATACGGTTAAAGTACGAGGGCTGAAAAGTTGATGTTTTGCAAAAAGTGGTGAGAAGATTAAAGGAGTTACTTAGTCGTGTACGATCATGGGAAACAAAAGATAAATTCTATGTAAGAAAAACTTTTATTAAATAATCAAAAGCGTTACAATACTAACGTTACATGGCATTCTATAGCGTTGCATTACGGTGCATTACAATTACATTGCACTATAAACACCTACACCAAAGTAACTATACAAACTCTGACTTGTCCCCAGTCGTCGTTGCGTAACGCGGAGGGTGGGAGCAGAGAGTGATGCGCACCACCATGGAGAGGTTTAGGGAGACGAATGGGGACGAGTCATACACCCTTTTTAAGTCTTCATTAAAACAAAGGACAACATGGTAAACGTATGTCATGCAATATACACGGCGAAACCTAAAAATTAATAGAGACCTTAAGATCAAGGTTTTTTGGCGTTTCCCGCGAGCTGCGAACGTCAATAGTCACGTGACCAGTGTCTTGCTGCTTGACCAGTGACCAGTGTCTTGCCGTTTGTACGGCTAAACCACGCTCTTTCGCTTATTGATGAACGAATTCTTTTTCATAGAAACATAATTTCGAAGACGATTTCTTAACTAAAATAGAAGTAACGAATGAGGGAAAACAAACATGGCCACCTCGAGCTACCACCGGCATATCTTAAAGGTCAGATGGGTACCGTGAAACCGTAAACCACCGTTTAAACAGACAAGGTTTCTCTTCCTCCTATTAAAAATATGTTTATTTTCTTCTTTTGTCTAGATTATGTGCAATATGTAATCTTTGGAAACAGTGCGAATAACCAATGAATTGAATTAAATTATATTGAGTTATGACTTACAAACAACAGATGAGGCATGCGGCTTGGCTCTCGGAGTCTACCATCTAGTCCCAGTCCTTCACGAGTGTTGTTACAGCCAGGTGAAAAGTAAAGTGCGCCCAAAATGACGTGGTTTGCGAAGATCTTTTTACAGGGTTTCCCACAGACAGCCCAAGATCAAGCTAGCTGTGAGCCATACGAGAGAATATTGCGTTCATGGCGAAAATATAAGAGTTTGTATGAGGATATTTACGATATTCTTTAGAAAACATAAATACAAGAAGATTCTCAATATAAAAAATACCTTATCTCACTTCTATGGTGTAATACTTGCTGTCCTGCCCCTCCTTTCCCTATTCAAGACGATTTTGGCGTGTTTTAGTTCGCTTGGTTTTCCACTCTGATAAAGAAGTCCTTTTTCTTAGAGTGGAAAA